ACAAGTGATTATTGAATTGAACCAGTAAAAACTCCTCATGATGAATAAAGTCTGTTTGGCAATTTGCGTGGTGTTTCTATGTGTTGTCCTGGTCAACTTAGCTCAGGTATGAAATTAATTAAATCAAGTAAATACTAATTTATGTTAATTGTTGATTAATCCTTATTTTTTATCAATGCTGATTAGGCTCAGATAGAGCAAACCGGTAAAGCTGGCCAAAACATGATGGATACAGCGATTGGCGCAGCTTCTAAAACCGCTGAGTTAGGACAGAATGCTACAAAACAAATGAAGGATGCTGTATCCGGATTTTCAGGTCGTTAAAAATGCATTTGCTTGATTGTTATAAAAGGATTCAATTGAAATAAAACATGTGCATATAGATGTTGTCTTTTATACATGTGTAATTGCAGCTTAAGAAAAAAATTGCAGTTTACATAAACATACGTTATTTGCAACAGTGATAGATAATAGTACGTAAATTTAAATCAATTGGATGATTATTACATATTACCAATTATTGCTTATTCCTGTGATAAAACTTATCTTTGTCAATTTCTTACCGACGACACCCCCTGGGGTTTCATACCTGGTACAAAAACAGCTGATTTATAACCGAGTTACCTGCTTGAATTACAACTTTATTTCAAAAACCATGACCAAGGTAAATAAACTAAAAGCTAAAAAGTCAAATAACTCATGCACAAAGCTAGCAAAGTCCACTCCCTGGCCAAGAGCACTAAATGACCAACAATAAAGGATAAAATAAAAATAGATTAATATTAATCCGCCTGATGCCACAGTGTGGCGAAACATGTCGCAGAGTGGTAAAAGTTCTTGTGAAACCCATAAGGTTTATCCTTTCTTTCAACGATAGTAATGGAGTTTCATCATGTACCTAAATGCCTCAACATTTCAATAAATAGAAATAAGAGAGTTAGGTGTATATTGTACTGAAAAAAATAGAGTATTAATTTTGTCAGTAAACAAAACTACTAATAATAAATATATATAAAAAAAATATTAATATTAT